TGGAGTTAACAATCATAATATATTTTAGTCTATCAAACCTTGTACCATCATGAAAAATTTTCATAGGTACTAAAACGTCAGCCTGAAATTGTAGGAATCAAAAAATATATTTTCAATGATAATTTTAATTTAAAATAATAAATTTATGTATAAAATTGTAAAAACAATAAATATAGGTATGAAAATATAGTTTTCCACCAATTCATAAATGCACTAATTCACTCGGATTTAGGTTAAATGAATTTGAATTGATTGATGGATTATATTCAACTTGCCACATCTATATGCCACAAAACGTATAGTCCCAAGTGAGTACGTATTTCGTCACCAATGAACATGCTTTCATCATAAAGCATCATCCAATGATCGAATGTGTAATGTTCATTGAGCATCCTCTATGTCAGTGGCTGAGCCAGAAATCTTGTATGTTCATTGAGCATCCTCAATGTAGGGGTCGTTTGTATGGTATATTTACAAATTATCCATGTGACCAAATATAAACACTTAACAAATATAAATATTTGACAATGTAAACATTACCGAATGCGGTGTTTGGTAAAAAAAATTAGTCATGTGTATGATGTTACTATTATGTCCTTACATGTACTGAGTTTCGATTTCTTGTTTTCTATCCATATAAAGCCAACTATGAAAGCAAAATTTATAATTTCAGACACTCCTTCTTTTTATAATGGATCATTCTGATTTAGTTCATGCCGTCGCATTTGAAGATTCATCCGGTCTTTCATGTGAGCCGCTGTCGCTATTAGTTAGAGAAGCAGTTAGGAAGAGGAGGAAGCAATATGTCAGATCAATCACAACATACTTCGGGGGTTTGCCGAGAGATAGGAGCATTTGGTGGAACCGGTGACATTAGTTTGTAGTTGTTGTTCGGTATTACTTAAAAGATTCATGCTTTAGACCTTCAAGTTTTTTATCAGAAAATTACAAAGTTGTAATGAAAATACTAACAAGTCCTGCTTCTACAAAAAAAATCCAACCCATATACATTTGAGACAAATCACCTTCTCTTTCGCTTAGGGATGGCAATCAAACCCATAACTGCGGGTAGCCGACCACCCTCGACCTAGTCAACGCGGGGATCCCACATTGACTAGGTATATGAGGCGAGTATGGGTAAAACCTGCAAAACGCTTGATGGGTATGGGGCGGGTATGGTTTTAGCCTCCTCCGCCTCATATCCATACCAATACCCGCCCCATCAAGAGCATTTCTTTACACATAAAAATACATATATCAAATTGTAACCTATCAATGATAGTGAAGATAACTCAAGAAAATAAATAGTAGAAATGCAATTGAATGGTCACCCAAATCAAAATCTAATTCCTTCTTCTCAACTCTCCCTTCACTCTATCACTTTTTTCACGTGTTAACAAGTATATAAGCTACTTATTACTTAGCAGATGTACCAGAGTCAGATAATACTGATTTGAATTACATTGTACCCCATGGATGTTTTAGGATAAAATACTTTGAACCGTATTAAGAATGGTTTATCTTTTTGTCGACTTCATGGTATAGTAGGTGCGCTTAGTGTTATAATTCTAAATTTATACCTAAAATTTTAGGTATTGTAATGTTGGATGTACAAGGCAGGTATTACCCATGGGTACGCAAAACCCACGAATATGTATATGGGTTTGCAAAACCTTTTCATGCATGAGAATGAGGCGGGTATTGATTTCGATATTTGAAAATGAGGATGATTTAGTCAAATCCACCCCATTGCCATCTATACTCCCATTGAATCAACTAAAGTTTGATAACTTAAAACCTTCAAGTTGAATACTACTATACTAGTAAAAGTAACGCCAGAACAAACCTTGTTCACATTTTTTAAATAACCCTTGGAGTCTTTTATTTTATTTTTCTTCTTTTCTATAAGGAACGCGTGAGTCTTTTGATAAGCTTCTAACTCAATTGTCTGAATAAAGTTCCCGAATTATTTAACATAAACTCGAAGTTATTAATTTTAAATGACACTGCGCTATAGTCTATTCTCTTCTATTTAGAGAAAGGAGATGGTCAAAATAACAACAAAAATCAACATAATATATTATTTCTTATTTTAGTAAGAATGTTAGCATAGGCGCGTATGTTTAAGGAGAGTCGGTGATAATTTTCAAAGAGTCGGTTCGCCCGCTCTATGTACAAATGTTTTATTTTATAGACCTGACCCGCAATTAGGTATTTTTGTATACTAAAAAATTCATTTCTAAAATATTGAAAACGAAGAGATGATAAATGTTTGATTTAAGCAGTCTTATTCATATTCTATTATCTAGTCAATAATATATTTATTACATTTTAATTTAATTTTTAATTACGATGTCACTCACTATTCCGTTTAGTGAGTTATTAACCATGAAAAAAAAGACTATCCGTATGTGAGGAATTTTACAATGCTATATAGCATTGGTGCTATAAGTTTTTATCCTTATGGTACAACTTGAAATTGTACATTTAACGTTATGGTACAACTTCAAATTGTACCTATACTTTTTGTACAAATTATTTTATGATACAACTTGAACTTGTACCTTTATGTGATGGTACAACTTCAAGTTGTAAAGTTATACCATAACATAATGATACAAATTCCTTTATGGTACAAACATGCCCCTCTACTATGACGTTTTATCAAACATGCCCCTCTACTAATTTTTACATCAAACATGCCCCTGTACTTTGGAAAACTTATCAGACATGCCCTTTTGTTAAAATTTCCATCCAAAAACCGTTAACCAAGACCGAATTTTGGTTTGGGCGACCCAAATATCCAAAATATCCCTAATAATTTCACTTTAGAGTTTTTTTGCTCTTTTGTATAGCCAAATAATTCTAATAATTTCACTTTGACGAGACCTAGAGAAATAAAACAAGGGTCAAAACTGACATTTCCCCTCCCATTTATCGATGTCATGTAGTATAAATCTCGGTTCAACCATGATTGACGATTTTTTCAATGGAAATTTCAACTGAAGTGCATGTTTGATAGTTTTTCCAAATTACAGGAGCATGTTTGATGCAACAAATAGCATAGGTGTATGTTTGATAAAACGTCATAGTAGAGGGGCATATTATACCTATAACCCTTATTGTTATGATACAACCTAAAGTTGTACATTAAAGCACCAATACTATATAGCATAGTAGAAGTGCTCTCCGTATGTTTCATCTGAAATATGATTGATTGTTTGAACAAGTTATTATGAGATGAGTTATTTTTACCCAAATAAATAATCTCAAATTATTCATATCAATATAACTTGTTCAAAAAATGCCAAAAATAAGATAGTTTGAGCTGATTTATTTCAATCGATTCACTTTTGAATTATTTCAATTAATTGAAACAGCTAAGAAATATCATATTCACAAAAAATTAATTTGCTAAAATTACGGCATTGGCAAAATGATGAGTCCTATCTAGGGATGTTAATAATTCGAATCGAGCCTAGTTTTGACATGGTTCGGGATCAACTCGTTAAAATAAATTCAAGTCTGAGCTCGGTTCAAGTTTGACATGAGTTTTATTACAAGTTCGAGCTCAGTTGGTTTATAAAAAATAGAAGCTCGAGCTCGGCTCGTCAAATGAGTTTCACGAACAAAAATTGAGTTCAACTAACAAAATGACGATTACAGCTCAAGTTCGAGCTCGACCTCGGCTCACAAGACACCAACAACAGACACTTAGAGGCTTTCAAACTTGTTCGCAACACTTATCGAGTTGAACATGTCATGACTCAAGCTAAACTCTTTAAAGACGATTTTGTTCGCGAACCGACAACTCAGTTGAAGGCATATCAAGTATAGAATGAGTTTTTCTCGAATCAGACACAGAGTTATTCATAAACAAGTTGGTTCATTTACAAGCCCAGTCATATCCACCTTCAGAATATTGATTTTCGATGTAGGTCTCTATACTGTAATATATTAATGGCTTTTTAGTACTGAACCAGCCCAAAAAGGAATAACTATCACGATTTTTTTAGTTTATCATTTACATCAGCAACCGGCTTGCAGGTAATTATGAAGAAAATCTAGAAGAAGGTGGTGGGAGTTGAAGGTGGTGGGAGTTGAAGGTGGTTGTACTCACATTTGATTTGCGGCGTCAACTATGTACATACATATATATGTAAGGTAGATAAAAATCAAGTATTATCGTTAGTCAATTAACTCCATTCAATAATAATAATAATGGAATTAAGTAAGCAAGCAATTGATTCATTAATGACAATCAACATTTGAATCGGATTAGGTTATGGGTTCCTAACTTCCTATTGTGGCCGCAATACAGACGTGCTGGAAAAGACTACAGTACTCCAATTTTGCATATATATTATAGCAACGAATAAGGATGATCTAGTATATCATACTTCAAATGTTATGTTTATCGGATGTATTTTATTATACTTATGCCAACAAGAATTGTCGATTATTTGTTGTAGTGATTTTGGTGTTTGGCTTTAGAAAATTTGGGCGTTAAGTTTATCCAATATCCATTATAGGTTGGGGTATGATATCATATATTAAACTCAGTTTAATTCATGATCGATCTAAACAGAGTTATTTCATTAGGAGCACTCTGAATATCGTATATTTCATGATTATAATGTCTAATCCATATGTATTACAAAAGCTAGCGTGCACATGTGACCTTATGTATAACTTATTACATGTACTTCGATATACTTTAACAAATAAGAACAACTGATTATTATTTTTAGATCAAATAAATCTTACAATTTGGTTTAGAGAATTAGGGGACGAGATACGGTGACAACCCCTAAGGGGGTTGTCAGATTCACAACCCACTTCATAGCCCTTGGATACGCTCTCTCTCCTGTCTCTTTCTTTTTTTTTTAAATTAACGGTTAAGATTAAAGGAAGGATATTTTTGGAAAGGTAAAAATTTACCACACCCAATCATTCCCCCTACCATATAAAAAGAAAAAAACCCTAACCCTAACCCTCCATCCTCCCTCTCTCTCTCCTCCCTCTCTCCCGTACAGCAGGATTCACCGTCGCAGATCTTCATCCTATCGGGCCAGAGCAACATGGCCGGCCGCAGCGGCGTAATCGCCAACCACCACAAAAAGATCTGGGACGGGATCGTGCCGCCGGCGTGCGAATCTCACCATGCAATCCTCCGCCTCTCAGCCGATCTCCGCTACGGCGGCAGTCCCTCTCCACGCCGACATCGACGAGGGGAAAGCTTGCGGGTACCACTCCGCCCATCTCTTTTGATCATTGCAATATCGCCTCCATCCTTGTATCTCTTCGATAATCTGTGCACCAAAACTTTTATTGGAAGCCTCATACTACCAGAGATCCCTTTCTCAGGAAACTCTATCGAACCAACTCCTGCCGACAAGTGTTGCAATATCTACGAGCTCAACGGTGCTGCAAATTTGACTCTGCTTGTGTCCCTGAAGTGTCCCGTGAGGGATCGGTTGTGCGGCGGCGGTAGCGGTGCGATTGGGTTGGTTCCGTGCGCCGTGGGAGGGACGACGATCTGATTTTTTGTTTGTCTCTACTGGTACCAATACCAGTAGCTCCCCTATCATCTGGTTTTTTGTGTGTGTTATTCTCTACTGGTACCGTTACCAATGTTAGTGGTAGTGCTACCAGTGCTAGTAGCATTGTGTTATTCTCTACTGGTACCGCTACTAATATGGTAGTGGTATCGTTGTACTGGTAGCGTACCACTAGTACTGGTACATTTTTTACTGGTACCGCTAGTACTGGTACATTTTTTAACGTACTGGTAGCGCACCTCTAGCACTGGTACATTTTTTACTGGTACCGCTAGTACTGGTACATTTTTTAACGTACTGGTAGCGTACCACTAGCACTGGTATATTAATTACCAGTAGACTAATAGATTGGTACACTTTTTAACGCATTGGTACATTTTTTCAGGTTGCCGGAGGGAGTCTACCGGAGAGAATTCGCCGGAGAAAAAGTTTGTCGGTCGATGCGGAGTGGCTGCTGGAGAAAGGAAGAGAGAGAGAGATAGATAGAGATATTAATGTATAGGATTTAAATTTCAGAAAAAAATTGTATTTAATATGGGTTTTTAATTCCCAATATAATTAATACAAAAAAGGTAATTAATATATTCCTTTTTCTCATACCCAAAATACCCTTGGTAGGGGGTTGTCACCGTATCCCGTCCCGAGAATTAGAAACTAGAATCACCTCATCATTAGAAGCTAGAATATAGTATCATATTAAATGACATATCACATGACCAAGACAAGTTTTGTGCATTAAATGGAGGGAGAGAGTATTGTAGTAGTACTCTATAATACCCTTATTAAAAATGTTTGTAGGGTGCTAATCTAACACTAAGTGATGTTAGCACCATATCTTGTCTCGGTCACTGTCATTTAATTATCAAATGTCTAACTTTTTCTAACATGATTTGTTACAATGTTGCCTAAAATGCATAAATAGGCAACATAATATAACATGGAATATAAATGTCTTTGTATGATCAAGCAAATGCGACATAATTCAAGTGATTATCTATTTATGTTTCATAAAATATATTTTAAGTAACATTTAAACAAAGGGTTGTCATTGTTAATTTTGAGCAACACTTTGAATTAGTGTTACAAACATAGTGTTGGCAAAACCATCTTTTCCCGTAGTGTAGTCAATAGCAAAACTTGTCGATAGTAATGCTAGGTTCAACCTTATGTATAATGCAAGGAGAAAATAATTATATGTATGTAAGCGTTAATTATGATGATCATTAAGATAATTAAAAGTTAAAACCATGCCCAAACTTTATCGAGTTTCAGATATCCATGGATAACATTTTTCCTTTATCTTATTAACTATTGTGTTACTAATAATGAATATATTAACGATAAAGAAGCAAAAACTTATAACTAACAAATCACCAACACTAAGAGAAATCATAAAAAAGAACACTAAATCATGAGATATTACAAAAACTAGGATTATCTAATATATTAAGATAAAAATGAAAATTTAAACAAATATTTCGTATGTATGAGTTGGATAGTGAAAAAACTGTACCCGCTCATTATCAGTTATATTCGGATTCAAATTTTTCCCATATCACGAGGTATTTTATTTTGATCGGGTTTGGGCGAATACATTAGTAGTATTTTTACCATCCCTAATTGCAGGTAGCTACGTGGGTTATGTATGGAAAACGAGTTGTCGTTGATAACTCGTGCTATTGAGAGAGATTTAAATATATAATTTTACATAATTTTCATAAATATCTCTTCACGTATAAACAAATTCACAGATATGATGTTTGCATATTCCAATATTGTCTAAATCAACTATTAATATCGCTGAGATTTTTCAAGAACAACTTGATTCCAATAATTTGAATCGGCGGGAGATGTTCAATTATGGATATTATAGTATGTACTAACACGCACTTCAAACGAAAACCAATTCATATGAGCTTGAGTATTGCACAAGTTCGAATACTATGTGCTGAACAAATGAGGCTCGCCGTGATTCAAATATAAGACCTATCAGCCACCAAAGATTCATATATCACGTCAAGAACGAATTTATTCCAATAATTCGAGTTGTTGAGAGAAATTCACCTTTTTAAGTGCAAGATTATACATAAAGAATCAATTTATCCCAATATCGTAACTCGTTTAGTAATGAATCTTATTATACTATAGACAACAAGCAAAAAGGGAGTTATAAAGAGACATCGAAGAAAGGCTGAAGCTTAGTAGCTGGCTAGAGATATGTGCTCTAGGGTCAAATACGTGTATATGCCATTCATAGATGGCAAGAAGGAAGAAACTACGAAGCAATATCATGTCAGCAGCAACAAAAATTGGGACGTCGTTTTCTTGACAACAAATAGGAATATCGTGCATGGGGTTAGGTTACAATTCGTAGGAAGGCGGTAGGAGACACGATCAGCTGACGAGCTATAGCAAATAGCCATATATATTTGCTTACTTAAAGAGTCAAATACGTGTATTTATGTGTTTGGGATACAATAGATAGATAGGCTTCTGCTTCTCGACGTGAATTGTGTACACAAAAATATAATAGATGTTGTATCTAATGATATGCAGAGATTTGGATGGCCGGTCGAAGACAGATTAGATATGCCATGCCAAGTCAATAATGTGTTCTATCTAGAACATCTTGTAATTATAAAAAATGTCTTTGTTCCTGCAGCCTTTCGCCACAACGTAAATTTGGAACATATGTCAACTCTCTTACGCGCCAGTTTAAAAATGAAAGTCGGTTCAGGACTCATGAGCATAAGTTTTGCTATTTTGGTACACTTACTTTACGATGATATAACAAAGGAGGGAGGAAAAGGAGGGGAGGTGAAAGAAAATTAGTAGGGGAGGGGAGATTTGGAGGTGAAGGAAATTGGAAATAAAATGTTGTTTTGTGGAGGGAAAGGTAAGAGATAAAAAGTAAATTCGGAAGAGTGATAGATATTGTTTTTTTATTGATGATGTAAGAGTTAAATAATTAACTTGTGTTTATACTAAAATGGAGGAGAGATGAGAGAAGGCAAATAAATAAATAAAAGAATTTTGTTGGTTAATTGTTGTTTTCTCTCCAAAATGGATGGTAGGGTTACACAGTAACATGTCCTCCACTTTCGGATTAATTCCCTAAATACAGTAATAATTAAAAATAATTCCCAGAATACCTAACTTTTAAAAAAATTTCCCAAACTACTAAAGTTTGACTTAGTTCGAGTTCACAAAACTCGAACTAGTACCGGATCGACTGGCAAAAACAAGATCCACGTGCACCGAGGATGGGAAACTCAAACTGCATGAACTGGATCGATGACCTGTGCAGCGCTCCACCCTTGATCAATGTACCAGGAAGCGATCACGGTCGTTCGATTGCTCAACCAGCGAAGCAGTGATGACCCGGATCGAGTGCGGTAAACTCGAGGTAAGTGGATCGAGTCAGGTCTAATCGATCTATTTGACGCGGATCGATGACGTCAGGCGCGCCCTACCGTTGATCGAGTGGTCTAAACTCGATCTAGGCCGTTCGATTGTCAAACCCGCGAAGTAGGGATGACGCGGATCGAGTGGGTGAAACTCGATGTAGTGGATCGATTTTCCTTTAATCGATCAGTTTGACGCGAATCGCTGATGTCAGGCTCGATCTACCGTTATCGATTACCCTAACCTCGATCTGGGTCGTTCGATGCGCCTAACCACGAACTGCTTTTGATGCGGATCGAGCGCCCAAAAATCGATACACTAGTTCGAGTTTTGTAAACTCGATCCACTCTCCCACAGAACCTATAAATACCCCTCACATTCCACTAAAACTCACACCACTCCATTCTTCTTCCTCTCTTCCTCCCTCCACTCTTGAAGAAAAAAATATGCTCTGTGGTTGCGGCTAAGCCCGATCTTCCGCATCAGATTTTTTTCTCTTTAGTTTGGTACTTCTATCACTCAAAATTGTCGAGATGGATCCGAGTATTTACGATCCTAGATTATACATTCAAGGTGGACCGCGAGAAACCGATTTGTTGGATGAGCAACCTTACCATCGGTCTGAAAGTGTTTGGGCGGCAGATCCGGTAGGCACTTCCTCATGTACTTTTTTTTTAATGTGATAGTATTCTTCTAATTTTTTTGTATAATAATTAATGTTTTTTTTTCTACAGGAACAACTTGACGTAATCACCCATCAGTCGCTATCTCGCTTGCCTAAATGGGATGATCGTATCGAGCCCTTCATTGAAAGAGCGTGATTGCTGAGGGTGCGAAAGTTTGTGGGGATGGAGATGGACAACAACCTTCTTACGACAATGGTGGAAAGATGGAGAAAAGAAACGCACACATTCCACCTTCTAGAGGGAGAGATGGCGATTACGTTGAAGGACGTAGCCATGCTGACAGAGCTTCCAATCGATGGTGATGCAATAATAGAAAGTTCACAGAAACCATTGAATGGTTGGGGCCAATTTATAAGCGAGCGTAAAATTCAAATTACAACATAAAGTTCTTAAATCACAACATAAAATTCAAATTACAACATAATGTTCTTAAATCACACCATAAAATTCAAATTACAACACAAAGTTCTTAAATCACACCATAAAATTCAAATTACAACACAAAGTTCTTAAATCACACCATAAAATTCAAATTACAGCATAAAGTTTCAATTATCAGTCGATGGCCCTGGACACTGGCGCCTATCATGCCCTTCAACTCGACATGCAGAGCACTTCTTCGGGCGGCGTCGCTGTGTCCTTGATCTATCCATTTCATTTGCAATTCGGTTAACTCTAGGTCGACCTTTGGTACGCTTCATGTGCTCGGGAGGGTACACTACAGGTCCATCATACTGGGGCCAATATGCTTCATGAGCCAAGGGAAAGAACGACCCTTCCCAAACTCTGACCACGTATGGAGTCTTGTAGTATGGACTAACAAATATCAACGGGTCCAAATTAACGCTTCTCGTAGCTGCATATGCATGAGAGCAAGGCAGGTGTCTCCCTTGAAACTTCCCACAAGTACACTCTCCAATTCCATTCTTTGCATCCAATATAACTGTTTGAGCATTACCACCCTTTGAACTATCTGGTCCACTTCCTGTTACTACTGTGAAGCGGGAATCTCTTCGACTAAATAAAGTCACTTTATGCCATTTTGCCCTTTCTGACCATGGTTTCATATCATCCGTAATCTTCTTTGGGATGTAGATTCCAGCATTCAACATCTGATATGCTGCTTGGTAGCGTTCAACGAACCATGTCACCGTACGAAAGAAGGTATGCAAGACTATAGATGAGATAGGCATTGCACGAAGACCAACATACAAACCATTGAGGCACTCACCCATATTCGTTGTTGTTATTCCATACCTATACCCTTCGTC